CAATTCCACTAAAACTAAGTGTTTGATGACGTCACTAATTGCAAAATATGCTTTATCACATAAGATCCTTTGCAATTAGTAACATCATCAAACACTTAGTTTTAGTGGAACCACAGACGTCTGATTGAAAATTGGAATGGTGTAAATTGATGCTATCAGTGTCCCTGATACACATAAAAAATTTAGAAACCTCTTTACGATCTCTTTAAAGAATTCAGACTGTCCCTTTAAAGTTAGAATTTTATTCAACCTGTTTGTCAACAAATTCAACTATAATATGACATAAGTTTTCACTTCAGTGAACACAACAGATGTTCCTTTTAAGACATTTCTCGTTAACAATAAGAAACATGGCCGCGGTTGCTCAGTGAGCTAGACACTTGCTCACTAACCTGAAGGTCCACGGTTCAATCCCGGCATAGGTAGAGATAATACCTTCAGATTTTTCAACCTGGTTTCCCCTGTCAGTGATGCAGGTAAGAGGGGCTGACACGGAAAAAGTGTCTAGCCGTTCGGATGAGACAATAAACCGAGGCCCTGTGTGCTACAGACTGTGCATGTTACAGATCCCTCTACAGTTGGAAATGGAAAAAGAGCAGGCTAAAGCCGCTGTCCTGGTAAAATTGCCCTCATTGTACACTGCATGGTGTTGTCGGTCTTCATTAGCCCACATGGTGCAGAAAAGTAGGACGTAAAACCTGTAGCTTTTCTCCATGAAAATATCACATTTGATCAAGTCTAAAGACAATTCTACTATCTTATTTTATTGTGGACACTCTAAAGACTAAAGTCTACTTACCGTGATTCACAAAACTCATAATCACATCTGAGCCATCTACTTTGGTCAAATCCAGACCGAGACTATCGTTCAATTTACTTTTCAAATGGTTATGAAATTTTTCATCATTTTCTTCCATGGGAAGCGTTTCTTCCTCTTCCAATGTCTTGTACAAGTCTATCATGAACTTCGGCGCTGAGTCCTCCTCACCATGGTGATCCTTCGGTTTTGGCCGGTGATGCAGACCCAAGAGGGTTAAAATTTCTTGTTGGACACCCTTCCGTTGGCGTCCCTTCATTTTGTTGACGATGACAGTCTGCTGTAAGCCGTTGTCAGCGTAAAATGCAGTGTTGGCAGCGCAAAATTCATAGCAGACGACATTTGCAGTGATAAACAATATGGCAGCACTAAATGAACCCCGAGCCATTTTGGCTTTTCCAAATTCACAGAAAACTCAGAAAAGATTGCAGCATTTCATACAGAAAATGTTAAAATTTGAGAGAATTTCTCCAAAAAAGTTAATGCACTCAAATTCAAAACAATGGAAAGTTTTGTTTATATTTTTCCACAGGTGTGTCGTTGCCAAATTCTGCGTGGAATCGTGCCTCGAAGTAGCTGAACTGTGTCCCAATTCCAAGGAAATATGGTTTCCAAAACTAAATCCCAAAATCTCCAAGAAATTGTCAACGAAAATTCAAAAATAGCGAAATTTGAGTTCAATGTGTACCTTCATACCTAGCCGACATATTGTTCAATTAAATGTCATGCGCGAACACCTGCTTCCGGTTTACAGGTAATTTGATATTTTTAAAGGTTACCTTAGTAACGAATGAATGAATGAATGAATGAATGATAAATCCTAGAGGAGAGGTATATTCTACTACTTGAATGAATGAATGAATGAAGGAAAGAATTAATGAATGAATGAATGAATGAATGAAGGAAAGATTGAATGAATGAATGAAAGAATAAATGAATGAATGAACAAAGGGTGAATTCTTTATGCTACTACTTGAATGAATGAATGAATGA